TTTACGTTGGCGTAAGTTTCAGTCACAGGCAGTGTTCGTGTATTACAAAAAACACTAGCTACTAGGGAACTCTTTTGTGGCATAAGCCTCGCGTGCTTGACGTCAGCTATAGAAATGACCACTTCCTGGATGTGGATTGCGTGGCCGAATTATGCGGCAGGTTGCGTTTTTGATGTCCACTCAATGCTTCAGACGCCCATACAACAAATAAGATTTTGCCAACCAATAAACACTAAGAAAGCAGGCTTTTAAAAGAAACTCTCTAGCGTGCTGGAATGCCTAATCGCCTTGTTATTTCTCGGCATTTCCACCCACTACCGTCATGTCACGACCGAGTCTCTTCACTTTCCTCGTCTTTTATGGCCTCTTCCTCCAACGCCCTCTCTACGGAGAGGTCAAACTGGACATCCTTCTCACCGAAGGAATCTGCGGACCCACTTTGGAACTCTTCGACTATCCCTTCATTCTCGTCTTCCCTGTCGAAGCCCTTGAAAGTTTGGAGGGCTGGCACCAACCTGGTGCCCCACCAGCTGTGCAACTATCAGCCGACTTCTTCAGCATTCCAGGCTGCACTCTGAGACAAGACGGATGAACTAGCGCTGTGTTAGCCGCCTTGAGCACAATAAATGGCACAGCAGTTCTAGGAAACGAGTTTTCTGTCTTCACTGGTCCACCCATGACAGGCGACTGTGGCCTTATGTCTGATTGGATATCGCTGGGTGGTCAGAAGAATGCGCTAAATCGTGGCGTCTATCAAATCAACTATGTATGTTGCAGGAATGTAAGGGCTGAGGCTCTCACCACAGTCGTCGACGGTAACGACAGAAAACCCATCGGAGTGAATACGGTGGTGAATACAAAAAGTATCTGAAAGCTTTGAATGCTCTGCTATACAGATATCGCTGCAAGTACATTGTTATATTCTATGAACTCAGTGCCGATATAACAGGCAATGAGTTTTTCGCCAATGAGTTGTCAGTCTTATTGACTAATGGTGAATATGACAGTTTTGAAGTCGTCGATGTGCATCGATTGCGGCTGGGGCGAACAAAGTTCTCAATGTACATATTGATAAATGAAACCTATGATGGTTCGTACGCACCCTTCTGTCTAGGTTGCTTTTTGAGCCATACGGATGGTTTCAGATTTCATAAAATGTCGACCGAAATTCAGAGGTGTGTATTTGATTGGTACAAGTTACTTAAAAGTAACATTGATTAACACATCGCATAATCCTAAAATACGGTACGGCAAGGTGCTCATGCGAAATGCAGAAGTTTACGAAAGCTTGATCAATACTCGCATACTGGCATGAACTCGTGTACGAAAACTTACAAATAATACTGAACAGCATAAGGCACACTGGCTAGAAATAATTTTAAATCTGAAATTGTTCCTTGGTTCCGCAAATAAATTTCATTCCTCAAGCTTGGCTTTACATGCAGGTGAGCAACTTCGGACTATATTTTACGGTTCTACAAGGAGTAGGTGTTAAATTTTCTTCCTTATTATGTGGTTCTCCAATAGCATAATGGATATTAATGGAAATTTTGGTTCTGCCATATTTGATATCAGGTTACTCCCGATTTAGCCAAAACTAATTTCTATTACCCCCAATAAACTGATATAAAGAGGCAGTTTTCATTGCCAAATATGTTCTCGGGATCAAATCTACTCGGTTTATCAAAATAACGTGACCAAATATATGCTAAACTAACAAGTAAATTTTCGTCATGAGTTCTTGTAAATTAAAATGTATTTTGTATAAAAACAAATAACCATATTCGTCTTTGTATTATGTTGGTAGGAAATTACGTATCATTTACATTTTATCCTTGAAGTAAATGGACCTTTTGGTTTAAAAGCTTTCTTAATTGCCGAATAAAATTGAACTCTATAGGCCGTTAATCTTGAATTCACTGTTCCAAATTTCCTGCTGTATACGTTCTGCCTATAGAATATCCCAATTGTACTAGACCCTAACGAAAAGGTCGCAAAATTCTCATAATATGTGGATGTGGATTATAAGAGAGAGGGAGAGAGAGAACTATTCGCTTTATTCTGAAAAAAATAATTCCAAAACTTTCAGCAAAAAGTGGTCGTGTTTTATACTTTATTTGCAGCATTATTAAATTGATGGGTACGATGTTCTACGTGTGAACATTTCATAGTCGTGAAACACTTTCTATTTATACTTTTTTGAAATTCTAAAGTTATCTTTTCCTCGAGTGTGAAATTTTTTAGCAGGCATAATCTGAAAACAAGCGAGGACAGGACAAAATATTTTCGTGAATATTTTCTGTGAACTATGCTTGCACTTTTAAGGGCATTTAAAATAAATGAGAAAAATGCATGCTAATTAATGCAGTCATTTTTAATAAGTGTGCCTTTTTTGGCGGGAAGTCGGAAAGAGATTTGAGTAAAAGTGGGCATCCGTCCATGACTGACATATCTTCAGATTAGGCTGAATGCTAATCAGTATAACAAGTACTTTGTAATTTGTTCGGATCGATAACACATTTCAGAATTTCAGTTCACATTACAGGAGATAGTGAATCTACTGCAAACAGTATTTGAAACCGATGCAGCGGTGTTTCATATCTGATCGCCTAATAAGTCATCATGGTTAAGGTTTCCCACCGTTCTTATTGCATCTAAAAGGAAGCATCGATTTTCAGAACCATGGCAGTAAATCCTTGAATCTTCAAACAACCGCAACTACGTGAAATGAGCGTTAGACTGAAAAAGCATTGCTTGCCCTTGAAACTGCCTTCACTAACCATGACATGACGCCAAATCTTAACCTGTTTTAAAAATTAAATATAATTGTCAGATGGTATCATTATGTGTATATTAAGGCAGTTCAATTTCGTAAGATTTCTTTACAGATATTTCTGATATTGAATTGTTATGAGTTCAGGTTGTCGTTAAAAGTTCGGCAAATATTTTACGATTTTTCGTCTTTTAAGGCCTTTTCCCATAAAGTTAGATTTTGTTCGACGTGTTTTTAAAAATCTCCAAAATAATATATTCCTTAAAATTGATCTTTGAATAGAAGTGATTCGTTGTCTCACCGAAACACCGAAACTCACTGCCGAGATAAATGAATATCCACAAGTATTATGGCTAAGCTCAATTAAAAACATTTTAGAATAAGTGGTCTCCTTAAAAAGCACCTTCCTTAGGTATTCGGCCGACGAATAGCTGCGTAAGTTCCATTTTTCAAAATAAAGGTCAAAGTAGCAATGGTATCTTGGATCGTTTCTTATTCATTTTCCTGAAATTTCGTGATACAATTTCTGCCAAATTGAAAAAACTCACTCTTTACCCTATATTTGGATATTTCTCGTTTAATTCGGCTATTGTTAGACTGTATTTTAAGATAAACGCATGTCGGGTGGCTTAAAATCCTTACAATAATGCTGCATGTAATTGATGTTTAGCCTGCAATAAGTACGAGAAAACGTTTCCAATACGGAACCTTATGTCAAAAACAGAAGAACTCTAGTAGTTGGCCGCTTTCGACGAGAACCACCTTACAGGGTCAAATGGCTTCAGTATAAAACTGTTTACCTTTAGTCAGTTTTATCATAATCATCCTTAGCCCCCAATCACCATTATCTTTATCTGGTATAAAGACGAACATATGACAAAGGAACCTGGCCGCAATCAAGTAAGTGGCGTACTATTTACCCCAGTCAAGTTACGAAACGTCACATGCCATTACTTCCTCGCAGCAATCCGGTTTAGCGCACTCGAATGACCAGGTATAATGTAGTGTAGAGGCAACTGAACATTAATCACACTCGTTAAGACAACACTGTCTTGCAAATCGGCGACTTTCAAACCCATCTCGA